CTGCTGCTGCCAAGTTCTAGATCTGTCATGGTCCCCTGTACGGGCCTCCCATTGCTGCTGTCCTCCATCGGTCCACACTCTGCTGCCATGTGCCACTTTCAGGTCTCTTCACACTGCTGGTGTGTTAAATTTTTTGACATAGGGAGCAGGCAGATTACGGGCCTCAACATAGCTGCACTGTGCCAAGGCCCCTAATCTGCCATGGGCCCCTATATACCGCCTCCTCATGCTGCTGCCAAGTCCAAAGTCTCTCATGGGTCCCTGTACGGCCTCCCATTGCTGCTGTCTCCATCGGCCACCACTCTGCTGCCATGTGCCACTTTCAGGTCTCTTCACACTGCTGGTGTGTTAAATTTTTTGACATAGGGTGCAGGCAGATTAACGGGCCTCACATAGCTGCTGCCCAGGCCCCTAATCTGCCATGGCCCCCTATATACCGCCTCCTCATGCTGCTTGCCAAGTCTAGAGTCTGTCATGGTCCCTGTACGGCCTCCCATTGCTGCTGTCTCCATCGCCACACTCTGCTGCCATGTGCCACTTTCAGGTCTCTTCACACTGCTGGTGTGTTAAATTTTTTGGACATAGGGTGTGCAGGCAGATTACGGGCCTCACATAGCTGCTGCCAGGCCCCTAATCTGCCAAGGGCCCCCTATAATACCGCCTCATCCTCATGCTGCTGCCAAGTCTAGAGTCTGTCAATGGGTCCCTGTACGGCCTCCCATTGCTGCTGTCTCCATCGCCACACTCTGCTGCCATGTGCCACTTTCAGGTCTCTTCACACTGCTGGTGTGTTAAATTTTTTGTGACATAGGGTGCTCAGATTAACGGGCCTCACCATAGCTGCTGCCAGCAGGAACCCCTAATCTGCCATGGCACCTATATACCCGCCTCCTCATGCTGCTGCCAAGATCCAGAGTCTCTCATGGTCCCTGTACGGCCTCCCATTGCTGCTTGTCTCCATCGCCACACTCTGCTGCCATGTGTGCCACTTTCAGAGTCTCTTCACACTGCTGGTGTGTTAAATTTTTTTGACATAGGTGCAGGCAGATTACGGTGCCTCACAATAGCTGCTGCCAGGCCCCTAATCTCCCATGGGCCCCTATATACCGCCTCCTCATCATGCTGCTGCCAAGTCCAGAGTCTCTCATGGGTCCCTGTACGGCCTCCCATTGCTGCTGTCTCCATCGCCACACTAACTGCTGCCATGTGCCACTTTCAGGTCTCTTCACACTGCTGGTGTTTAAATTTTTTGACATAGGGTGCAGGCAGATTACGGGCCTCACATAGCTGCTGCCAGGCCCCTAATCTGCCATGGGCCCCTAGTAGGTAACCGCCTCCTCATGCTGCTGCCAAGTCTAGAGTCTGTCATGGGTCCCTGTACGGCTCCCATTGCTGCTGTCTCCATCGCCACACTCTGCTGCCATGTGCCACTTTCAGGTCACTCATCACACTTGCTGGTGTGTTAAATTTTTTGACATAGGGTGCAGGCAGATTACGGGCCTCACATAGCTGCTGCCAGGCCCTAATCTGCCATGGGGCCCCTATATACCGCCTCCTCATGCTGCTGCCAAGTCCAGAGTCTGTCATGGGTCCCTGTACGGCCTCCCATTGCTGCTGTCGTCCATCGCCACACTCTGCTGGCCATGTGCCACTTTCAGGTCCTCTTCACACGCTGGTGTGTTAAATTTTTTGACATAGGGTGCAGGCCAGATTACGGGCCTCACATAGCTGCTGCCAGGCCCCTAATCTGCCATGGGCCCCTATATACCGCCTCCTCATGCTGCTTCCAAGTCTAGAGTCTGTCATGGGTCCCCTGTACGGCCTCCCATTGCTGCTGTCTCCATCGCCACACTCTGCTGCCATGTGCCACTTTCAGGTCTCTTCACACTGCTGGTGTGTTAAATTTTTTGACATGGGTGCAGGCAGATTACGGGCCATCACATAGCTGCTGCCATGGCCCTAATCTGCCATGGGCCCCTATAATACCGCCTCCTCATGCTGCTGCCAAGTCCAGAGTCTCTCATGGGTCCCTGTACCGGCCTCCATTGCTGCTGTCTCCATCGGCCACACTCTGCTGCCATGTGCCACTTTCAGGTCTCTTCACACTGCTGGTGTGTGTAAATTTTTTGACATAGGTGCAGGCAGATTACGGCCTCTCACATAGCTGCTGCCAGGTCCCCTTCCATCTGCCATGGTGCCCCTATATACCGCCTCCTCATGCTGCTGCCAAGTCCAGAGTCTCTCATGGGTCCCTGTACGGCCTCCCATTGCTGCTGTCTCCATCGCCACACTCTGCTGCCATGTGCCACTTTCAGGTCTCTTCACACTGCTGGTGTGTTAAATTTTTTGACATAGGGTGCAGGCAGATTAACGGGCCTCACATAGCTGCTGCCAGGCCCCTAATCTGCCATGGGCCCCTATATACCGCCTCCTCATGCTGCTGCCAAGTCTAGAGTCTGTCATGGGTCCCTGTACGGCCTCCCATTGCTGCTGTCTCCATCGCCACACTCTGCTGCCATGTGCCACTTTCAGGTCTCTTCACACTGCTGGTGTGTTAAAAATTTTTTGACATAGGGTGCAGGCAGATTACGGGCCTCACATAGCTGCTGCCAGGCCCCTAATCTGCCATGGGCCCTATATACCGCGCCTCCTCATGCTGCTGCCAGTCTAGAGTCTGTCATGGGTCCCTGTTAGGCAGATTTCGGCCTCCCATTGCTGCTGTCTCCATCGCCACACTCTGCTGCCATGTGCCACTTTCAGGTCTCTTCACACTGCTGGTGTGTTAAATTTTTTTGACATAGGGTGCTGGCAGATTACCCATGGCCTCCCATTGCTGCTGCCAGACATGTAATCTGCCATGGGCCCCCGTTACCGACTCCTCATGCTGTGACGTTGCAACAAGGTGTAATTCAACCCTACATAATGTTAGACCGCCTTTACGAACAGCTAAAGGCCATCACAGATTTCCTGATGTTAAAAGCGGATAAAGGTACTCCCTGTGTAACTTAGATGTCAGCCATTGTCAGCTCATGTGTGACACCTGCGCTTGCTCAGGCCCTTTGAGGAGGCCACGCTATTCGTGAGTCGGCAGGACTATGGGATGAATGAGGTCAAATCGGCCATGGGCCCCCGTACCGCCTGTTCACGCTGATGCTGGTCCCACAGTGTGACCTGGGTCCCTGTACGGCCTCCCATTGCTTCCACTCTGCCATGTGCCACTTTGAAATCTCCTCACACTCCTGCGGTTGTCCATTTTGTCATAGGTTGCTGGCAGATTACAGGCCTTCCATAGGTGCCACCAAGCCCCATATCGGCCATGGGCCCCCGTACCGCCTGGTCACGCTGCTGCTGGGCCCACAGTGTGACCTGGGTCCCTGTAACCCGCCTCCCATTGCTCCCACTCTGCCATGTGCCACTTTCAGGTCTCCTCACGCTCCTGCTGGTTTCCATTTTGTCATAGGTTGCTGTATGGCCTCCCATTGCTGCTGCCTCCACCGCCACACTGTGGCTCCAAACACTGGTTTTGGCCCCGTGACTGGCCAAAGGAGTGAAGTGTGCAGTGATTCTAAGATCGACGGCACTCATCTGCATGTCATACTGACAGACAGTATTATTTCTCTTCCCCAGCAGACTCCAAGGGCATTTAAATTAAAGGTACAGTGTTCTGCACTAATATTAAGTCTCTCTGAAGCCTAGAAACACCCTTTTTTAAGTTAAATTCACAGCGAATTTATTCGACTCGAATCGAATATTGTCCACGAATTCGCCGAATCAGTCGAATCGAATTTTTCATTTCTTCGCTCATCTCTACCCATGATCCCCTATTGCCCGGGGGCCCATGAGTTGTCAGTCCACCCCTGGGTCTCAGGTCATCTCCTGTAGTATGTCCGAAGTCTGGTCATCTCCTGTTGTCACGTACCTGGTGTTAGAGGTCCATGGAGAGAGGGCTTCCCTTGCGGCTAAGTTCCAGACTCCCCTGAAAGTGGGACAGCAGGAGTCAGGCCCAAAGTGGCACAGGTCACCTGTAGGAGTGCTCGTTGGTGTTCCACCCAGGAGCACAGCTGATGCACTGAGATGGGAACTGCAGACAGGTGGTGCCTGTACGAGGTATGCAAGCCTTCCTGGAAACAGAGGATCACAGGATAGCCAGTTGAAAGCTGAGGTCAGGTACCAGGTGGGAATCAGAGCAGACGTAGTCAGATGGTTAGCCGAGGTCATACACAGAGGAGCAAAGAGGGAATATCCGTTAGCCAAACCGAGGTCAGATCAGGGGTTAAGCAGAGAAGACAGAACCAAGAACAAGCCGAATAGTTGGTATCGGGAAATCACAGATCACAATAGCACAGGAAACAGGAACAAGGTACGGGAAGCCAGAGATCAACCAGCACCTGAGAGTAGGGCAGGGCTTCCTTATAAAGGCTGTTTTGGAGCCAAATTTGAGCCGATGTAAACTTCTGCGGCCATGCAAGGTACTGGCAGGGGTGCCAGGTCTCCTAACACCACTGCTGAGGACAGAGCCCTGACACCTGTACTATGTCTGCAGTCTCTGGTCATCTCCTGTACTATGTCCGCAGTCTCTGGTCAGCTCCTGCACTATGTCCGCAGTCTCTGGTCATCTCCTGTACTAGTCCGCAGTCTCTGGTCATCTCCTGTACTAGTCCGCAGTCTCCGGTCATCTCCTGTACTGTGTCCGCAGTCTCTGCTCATCTCCTGTACTGTGTCCGCAGTCTCTGGTCATCTCCTGTACTGTATCTGCAGTCTCTGCTCATCTCCTGTACTGTGTCCGCAGTCTCCGGTCATCTCCTGTACTATGTCCGCAATCTCCGGTCATCTCCTGTACTATGTCCGCAATCTCCGGTCATCTCCTGTACTATGTCCGCAATCTCTGGTCATCTCCTGTACTATGTCCGCAGTCTCTGGTCATCTCCTGTACTATGTCCGCAGCCTCTGGTCATCTCCTGTGCTGTGTCCGCAGTCTCTGGTCATCTCCTGTAATATGTCCGCAGTCTCTGGTCATCTCCTGTACTGTGTCCGCAGTCTCTGGTCATCTCCTGTACTGTGTCCGCAGTCTCCGGTCATCTCCTGTACTATGTCCGCAATCTCCGGTCATCTCCTGTACTATGTCCGCAATCTCCGGTCATCTCCTCTACTATGTCCGCAATCTCTGTCATCTCCTGTACTATGTCCGCAGTCTCTGGTCATCTCCTGTACTATGTCCGCAGTCTCTGGTCATCTCCTGTACTGTCCGCAGCCTCTGGTCATCTCCTGTGCTGTGTCCGCAGTCTCTGGTCATCTCCTGTAATATGTCCGCAGTCTCTGGTCATCTCCTGTACTATGTGTCCGCAGTCTCTGGTCATCTCCTGTACTATGTCTGCAGTCCATTGGTTCAGAATATTTTTTTCTTGTTTTCCTCTCTCTAAAATCTAGGTGCGTCTTAATGGAGCAAAAAATACAGTATTTTGCTATGTTCATTAAAATAAATAAATACATAATGCTGTAGCCTTGTATGCCATTAATGAAGATTTATTTTACTTAAGGCTCAGCATGTCTCGGGTTTTTTTGTTATTTTTGAGTAGACGTAACAGTGCCTTGCCCTTACCTATGTCATATTCACTCTGTTCATCCAAAATTAGAATACATATGGAAAATTATTATTACAGGTACTTATATAACACCATCAATTTACGCAGCTCTTTACATATATATTGTATATTCACATCAGTCCCTAACCCTCAAGGGGTTTACAATCTGAGGTCCCTAAATCACATTCATACATACGCATACTAGGGCCAATTCACCTACTAGCATGTCTTTGGAATGTCGGAGGAAACCCGGAGTACTCAGAGAAAACCCACACAGGCAGAACAGGCAAACTCCAGGCAGGTGGTGCCATGGTTGGGATTTGAACCAACAACCCTAGTACTGCCAGGTGGAAGTGCTAACCATTTAGCCACTGTGCTGCCCAAATGATGCTGAGTAGTGGTCCTTTGCAGGCTCTGTGCTTAAAGAAAAAAGAACAGACACTGTAAGTATTCCCAGCATACAGAACAATGGAGGTGGTACTGTGCAATGTCCGTATGAAAAGGAGAACTTTATGCAACAGCATGTACTGTTGAAGGGTCCCCCATCCATCCACCCCCCTCTTCACCTCCAATATAATCAGTCTGCTCTGGAGTTTATTCCACACACTAATGCAAGATTTCTATTCTTTTTCTAATTCTTTTATGATTTTTTTCCCAAAACCCTAATATTAAAATACAATGACAAAACCTGTCACAAAGAAATCATCCAAGATGATTCAAATGTAAAAATACTTATTAAAAGCTGACACTATTATGATACGGATCCCCTTATAAGAGATTCCTGTTTAAAAATAAATGCTGACATATTGAATTTAACCCCAACACCCCACTTTTTGTTTAATTTGAAGTAGTAATAAACCTAAAAGAAAACCTTTTATTATATTGTACCTTACCAATAAGCTGATCTGATGAAGGTACAAGGAGCAATAAATGGCAACCAAACATGCAGCAGCAGGGGCTCCAATGGGCCAGCAGATGGTGTGGATAAAAAGATCTAGTGGCATCTCCAGCCGCACTGTGAGGATGTCAGAATTCTTAGGTGATGTCGGGGGGCAAGCATTGCATGTTTCAAGGGTCTCAGACCTCTTTTTGAAACACGTTATGCTTGGCCCCTGACATCACCTAAGGGTAAACGTAGGTTAAAAAACATCTGTTTAGCCGAGTTTATGCGCATTTATGAGTGTTTGCATTTAGAAGTGTTTTTTTTAACCACTAGCCTACAGGGCACTTATACCCCCTTCCTGTCCAGGCCAGTTTCCAGCTTTCAGCGCTGTCACACTTTGAATGACAATTGTGCGGTCATGCAACACTGTACCCATATGAAATTTTTATCATTTTTTTGTGACAGATAGAGCTTTATTTTGGTGGTATTTAATCACCTCAGGGTTTTTTATTTTTTCTTAAACAAACCAAAAACCACTGAAAATTTTGAAAAAAAAAAAGTTTTTTCTTAGTTTTTGTTATAAAATTTTGTAAATAAGTGATTTTTCTCCTTCACTGATGTGCGCTAATGAGGCTGTAGTGATGGGCAGGGCACTGATTCGATGCACTGATGGACACTGATAGGTGGCACTGATGGGCACTGATGAGGAGGCACTGGCAGGTGCCACTGATGGGCATTGACAGGCATCACTGATGAGCACTGATATATGGCACTGGTAGGCGGCACTGACTGGCACTGATAGGCGGTACTGACTGGCACTGTTAGGTGGCACTGACTGGCATTGTTTGGTTTCACTGGCTAGCACTGTTAGGTGGCACTGACTGGCACTGATAGTCAGCACTGACACGCACTGATAGGTGGCACTGACTGGCACTGATAGGTGGCACTGATTGGCATTGATAGGTGACACTGACTGGCACTGATGGGTGACACTGAAGGGCAGCTCAGATAGGCACTGATATGTGGCATTGATGTGCACTGGTAGACACTGATATGTGGCATTGATGTGGCACTGATGTGCACTGGCACGTGGCACTGTTCAGCACTGACAGCTCGAGAGGAGAGAAATGCCGATAACCAGCATTTTCGTGTTTACATGTGATCAGCTGTGATTGGACACAGCTGATCACATGACCGAGCTGACATCTTCGGCTCTTTCCATGGATCGGTGATCCACTGTGTCCAAGGGACACCGAGCACCGCCGATTGCCGGGCTGCGTGCTCCCTGAGCCGCGCAGCGCGGTGAAAATGAAAGGACGTCAAAAGACGGCCTATCAGAACAAGAGAACCGCCTTGCGCCCATCATTGGACTATATGGCGGGCGGGAGGTGGTTAAAGATAACCTCAGGAGACCTTCCAAAATGCCCAGAATGCACTGAAAAACAATAAAAAATTAACTATTTTAGACATTTTGAGAGAAATAGAGAGAGCAGAAGCAGAGAGAGCAGTATTTGTTGAAAATAGCAGTCTTTTTTTTTTTTTGTGGTGTTTGGATGTGTTCCAGCTCATTTCTGTGCAGAAATTATTGCAGCAGTGTAACATTTTCTTTCATGCGAAGCCTCAAAGTATGGATTCATTTGAGTACCGGGAAAACGCTTTGCATGCATTTTTCATGATGAAAAAAGGCTCTGGACAGCATCTGAAAATGGAAGAGTTAAAAAAAAATTTCCAAACTCAAATACTTAGAAACACGGTTAGCCGCATTTACACACGTTTAAAAGCATTTGACGTTTGAAACGCTGATAAAATCTACTTCTGAAGTTTGGTGCGTTCAAAAAAATGACTGTAAACTCAGTGTACATGGAGCCTAAGGCTGGTTACAGGTTGGGACAGTTGCCTTTTTTTTTTGTTGTTGTAAGGGGTTATAACCTTCCCTTACTTTATCCAAAATAAAATAAAAAAGGTTTTGTCTTTAGTTTTTAATTTTAAAAATTGATATTGACAGACATAGATGTAAATTTTCCTGTTGCTCTTTGTTCTATGTTAATGCCAATTTTCCTAGATCGGTCTCATGGAGCGTGAAAAAAGATTCAAAAGGGTCTTAGAAACAGTTAAAAGTTATTAAAAGTCTTCAGTACAATTTTATTGTGACATGGCATTAAACACGCACATCCGACCTCACCCTCCGGGATTACACATTCATTATTCCTCGGGCGTGAGTTTAATGTCGCCAGAATCCGCAGCCCACCGGAGCTGGGAATGTAAACCGTGGCTTTAAAAGAAGTCACTTCTCAGCATTATATCAGTAAAATGGCAGATAGAACGGATTATGGGCGAAAGGCAGGAGGGATACAAAAAAAACATAAAATAACCGTATCGAATGCATCAAGAGTATGGGTTTGCGTTCCATAACATCAGCAGAAAACAAAACAGATTGGTTTTATATTGAGTTTAAAGCATCTTCCCACTTTTTGCATTTATGCACGCTTTGGTGAGAAGTGCCATATCTAGCTCGTCAAAGGCACACATGAAAGCTTTTTTAGGCAGTAGCAACATATTTTTATTTTACTCTGGAGCTCACTTTACACAGCGAGGATGCCACAACACAATGTAACGTTTTCAAAAGTACTTTCTTGTTTTCCTTCTCATCTAAATGTCTTTTAAAGGAAACCTGATCTCTGAAAATATAACGGCTGACATTGCTGAAGTCATCTATTTAACTACATATAAACCTAGTAACTGTCCCTTTAACCCTTTCACTGCCAACGCCATTTTCACATTTGTTTTTTCCCCCACGTGCTTAACCTCTTAACAATGTATCACGGATGGATGGCCGATATAGGCAAAGTACGCCGCTGCCTACGTCAAAATTTCGTGCACCCCCTGGCCGGCACGTGTTGTGATTGTACTCAGGGGGAGCCGGTCAGCAAGTTCCGGCCAATGATTCACAGCTGGGACCTGCTGATCGGCTGTGTCCAATCACAGCCCAGGAAAAAATGTCACCAGCACACCGAGGATCACCAATATGGGTCCAAAGGTTTTAATAAACCATCACATAGTTACAGCAAGGCAACATTTCGGAGTCTCGCAGGACCCCTTCATCAGGCATGTGACGGGGTCCTGCGAGACTCCGAAATGTTGCCTTGCTGTAACTATGTGATGGTTTATTAAAACCTTTGGACCCATATTGGTGATCCTCGGTGTGCTGGTGACATTTTTTCCTTGCTGATTTTGTTCGGTTCCAGCCGACGGTCACTGCAGCACCCACTTATACACACAGCCATTTTTAACGCAGGAACGTGTGCGTTTGGATTCTACCCTTGCAATCACAGCCCGGACCTCTGGGTTGACAATCAACACAGAGCTCTGTACAGAGGGAATGGTCCTTAGAGATCTAGAAGGAAAAGTGTAGTAGCAATTTTGGAAAACCAGGAAACTCCGGACACGGATTCTGAGGAAAACAAGTGATTTAATAAAACAGCGCTGAGTGACCCAGCCAGGCTCATGCCTGCAAAGCTGAGTAACTTGTATCTACTTCTTACAATCTTGCGATTACATCACAATGCATACATTCCTTCTTTCATTTTCTATACACTCAAAAGGCTTTCTAAACTCTGCAATATATAACTTTGGAATAGCAGCTGCAGATAAGGGTACTAGCTACCAGCTGGTACAGATCACTCACAGGAAATAAAGGAGGGGGGAAAATGAGCTAAAAACCTTGCTTTTACAAACACAGGCTGCTAAAAGTGCTAGAACTCTGCCATATCTGGGTGCTACCACAAGAGCAGCACACTTTGCACATTGTTAGGCACACATTTAACCCCTTGATCGCCCTAGATGTTAAACTTTTCCCAGCCAGTGCCATTAGTACAGTGACAGTGTATAGCATCATCACTGATCCCTGTGTTAGTATCACTGGTGATGTCAGTGGCAGTTAGTCAGCTCCCCCCCAGCTTCAGTTAGTGTCAGATCGGTGTCAGATCGGCTGCTGCACTATTGCAGTCCCTACATATGTTGCTGGTCACTGCCATTAGTTTTTTTTCATTTATATCGCAAAAAAAAAAAAATACCACCAAACAAAAACTTTATTTGCGTGAAAAAAATTACATAAATTTAATTTGGGTACAGCAGTGCATGACCGCGCAATCACCAGTTAAAGTAGTGCAATGAGATATAGCAAAAAATGGCCTGGTCATGAAGGGGGTAAAATCTTCCAGAGCTCAAGTGCTTGAAATAACAAACATTTTAGGCCTGAAGATTGCATAAAACCCCCAAACATGATATATATTTCTGAAAGCAGACACGCTAGAGAATACATTGGTGGTAGCTTCAGCCTGTTATGTTAACGGTTTAAGAAATGCAAGATTTCAGTAAAAAATACACTACAGGTGTACCTCGGTTTAGGAATTTAATGCGTTCTCCGGGTCGTTTCGTATTGCAAAACATTTGTAAAACCGAAATGCGGTTTCCCATAGGAATGCATTGAAAACCAATTAATACGTTCCGGGGGTCAGAAAAAAGTTTAAAAAAAAGCTGTCACTATAGGTCAGTGCCGGTTTTTAAATGTAATTATCAGTTTTTTTTTTTTCTTCACTATAGCTCAGAGAATCAGCTGTCACTCCCCCCCCCCCCCAGCTAAAAGAAAGTTTCCTTTTAGTTTATTTTCCCGAGTTAAAAGAAACAATGTTTCCTTTCAGTTTGTTTCCTGAGATTAAAGAAACAAAGTATCCTTTAGCTCCGGGGAAAGTGAAAGCTCATTCTGTGAGCTATAGTGAACAAAAAAAAAGCTAGCAATTGCATTTAAAAATTGACACCGACATACACTTCGTATTGCAAAAAAAAAAATTCATAAACCGAGGCATTATTTTCAATGGATTTTCATTCGTAAACCGAAAATTACGTTAACCAAGGCGTCTGTAAACCGAGGTACACCTGTATAGTTATTTAATGGCGCATAAACGCAATGTATTAACCAGGGGCGGACTGACAATTCAAGCACTAGGGCACTGCCCGAGAGCCCAAGGTCAGTAGGGGGCCCCATAAGATGCCCCTGGTAACATTCATTGGCTTTTTCATAGGCTTTTTTGGGTATGGGCAAGGACACAGGGGCCCCTATTGCCCGGGGGCCCCATGAGTTGTCAGTCCGCCCCTGGTATTAACCAATATAGAATGTATAATGTGTATGTATGAATGTGAGTTAGGGACCTTAGATTGTACACCCCTTGAGGGTTAGGGACTGATGTGAATGTACACTATGTAAAGCTCTGCGTAAATTGACAGCGCTATATAAGTACCTGAAATAAATAATAATAATATCTTGGTAAAAGATGAGGTTGTGCCGAATAAATAGATACCCAACGTGTCAAGCCTTAAAGTTACATGCACCTGTCAAATGTTGACAAACTTCAGTATACTATATTTTTTTTTGTCTAAAAGACACCTGATGTCTCACCTGTCCTGCAATGAAGCTAATGAAGTGCAGATCACAGTGCGTTCAATTTTTCCCGATCATACTGACTGGAGAAAGTGACACCAGGACCAGGCAGAGATGATTTACAAGTCACGTTTAGTCATTAGCTGGAAGTGGTGGGAGATCAGTGGCTGGTGTTGCTCTTCCATACACAGTACCTAAATACTCTTAACCACTTGCCATCTGTCCGCTGTATATAAACGGTAGGATGGTGGCAGTCCAGGGGCGGGTTGCCGTTCATAAACGACACCCGCATTTTCAAGCTGTGCGCGCTTCCTGGGAGTGTGCGCAGCACCGCAATCCGGTGCCTGCTGTGTCCTCCCTTTAGAGGTGTAAAAGCAATCAGTGTAAAAAAAACAAAAAAAACAAACAAAAAAAACTTCATCACCCCCCACAAGTAGTACAGTGTCACCATGGTGACACTGTACTGCTAGGCTGACAGTATGTAAAAAAAACCCCATTAATAATAATATAAAAAAAATAAAATAACAATGTAAAAAACAAAATTTTAAATTATAATTTTTGGTTATAAACTAATCTGGGTTATTTTTTTTTTTTACTAAAAAGATAACTGAATAAATTTGGGCCACGATTTATGATGAAATATTATTTATTTGCAAAATTTTATAAGAAAAACATTTTC